ATCATTGTGTCTGACTATCACTATCGCTGTCGCTGTAAACAAAACGCAGTGTTGTTATTGAAACCCAAAATATATATATATATATATATATATATATATATATATATATATATATATATATATATATATATATATTTTTTTTTTTAAACAAAAGATTACATTTTCTTAATATGTTTACATTAACATTTTGCTACACAGCTGCCATTATGATGCGTCAGTTTAGAAGACTGTAAGACTACATATCCCATAAGGCCTTGGAACATCTTGGAAACCCCAAAAATGAGCTGGAGGATGTTGCTGATGTAAAACTGGCTTGGACCTGTTGCCCCAATCTGAGCGGACATTGATGGACGGATGCGACTACTTCCTGCATTACCTTGTTGTACCTGTACCTTTGGGGTTTTTTTTGTTTTTTGTTTTTTTGTTTTGTTTTTTTGTTGAAGCCTATAACTTCCCACTTCCTGCTTTGTCGGAAAACTCCTGCTCACCCGTAGGCTGTTGTCCCAGGAGGCCGAGCAAAGCGCCGTGCCATCAGGCGACACTCGGACTCTGCTGATGCGGTTTTCATGGCCAAACAGGATGGAGACACGAGTCCCCTTCAAAACGTCCCAAATGTTTATGGTGTAGTCGTTGTACCCAGAGAACAACAGGCGGCCTGGATGCGTGGGCAGAGGATGAAAATAATGACATATAAAAAAAAAAAAGGAAGTGGGGAATTTCAGGTAAACAAAGACAAACAATTGGATTAGAGGAAACTTGGTTTGGGTTATGAAATACTTCTGGTTTGGTATCATGCATATTAAACAGCTTAACGTTTTGCAGTCCAGCTTGAATTAAAAATGCTTCCCACCACTCAGAGAGAAATCCACAGAGGAGGCGCCAAATATGATGCTGTCCTTCTGGTAGACGGCGACTTCGCGATCCGCCCGCAGGTCATAGAAACGGCACTGAGGAGAACCAAGAAACATCTCAGACTGAATCAACACACACAGCTGGACTACCACACACACACGCACGCACGCACGCACGCACGCACACACACACGCACACACACACACACAGGCACACAGGCACGACTTCAGCTCATTTTAGCTTAGGAGATATAGCTGGTCAGAAGGTTTTAATGGTGTCACAGATAACTTTTATTAAAAGGTCATAAAGCTAACATTACTTCCTCAGAATCACTGATGTAGCTCATGGGGACAGAAACGTATATCAACAAGCGGAGAAGCAGAACTTACCGTGGCATCATCTGACGCAGATGCAAATGCGTCTCCACTGGGGTAGTACCTGGATGTCAGGGAGATTACACTCAGACATAATCAACTTTACTCATTGGCTAGGAAAAAAAAAAAAAAAATTCTGTGTCATAGTTTTGCTAACAAAGTCAAAGTTTAACGCTTTTAATTTGACCCTGGGTCACTTCTCACTTTTAATCATAACCTTGTGACGCTGCCTATCCCCAGCTGTTACATCTCAAACAGTGATGGCTGTCTACCTGTTTTCTTGCATCTTACAAAACAAACTGATGGTGATATTTACATGAAAATTACTGTTTTTCTCAACTATATTCAAATTATCGCCTAAAAATGTGAAAATAATACTTTTAGTCAGTAGCACCGACAGAAAAAAATTTCTTACATTAAAATCTTAGCATTTAAAAATAATAATACATTTAGGATATTTAATCTCCAGAGTAAACACGTTGGATCTACATTTCAGCTGAAGATCTTACACACAATTGTGAGAATGCAAAAAGTTTAACAAGTATTTTTCATTGCTGCTCTGTAAAACTGATAAATGACAAAAGTTTAAATATCCAGTCGTAACCAGCTTTATTACAACTCTCAACCATAATAATACATCCTAATTGTTTTCATTTATTGGTATTTATAGCAACAAAAAATGACATTATATTACAACAGAAGCAGCACACAATCAGAAGATGTTTTTTGTTTTTGTTTTTAACACCTCTGACATGCATCGGATCCATTGAAACTTAAAACAGGCCTGTTTTGGTTAAAGATTTTTAGTATTCAAATCTATTGAAATGTGCCTTAATCTCATTACTTCAAAATATTGAAGTAGTACTTAAAACATTATTTACAATTGTTTAAAATGTTTTAACTACGTTAAGTATAATCTAGGACATACTTCTGATATGTTGTAACCTTAAAAATTGGGAAATTTGTCCTATAAAGACAAAACAAAAAATAGACTTTTGCTGACACTGCGCTTCTGGGAAGGATGTCATGGGAACACAAACTTATGCAATGTCACATGACCGCAGTGAGAGGATTATGGGTTGAACAGTGAGATAAAACATAAGGAGTATTTTTGTAAGAATATTAAAAAATCGAGTTCAATCCTGAATATTTCCACAAGTTTCAGCAACCAGCAATCAGCTGCAAATCCAAGAGATCCAGCTTTTAAATCACAGATTACACTTGCAAAGAGTTTAAACCATTAAACTCGGCTCTTTCTTCCTGTCATTAAGGTCTAAAAATACACAAAATGCCTGTAAAATGATGACGGCGGGTCTGTTTGGGATAAAGTCAGATCTGTGCGTCTTTTAAAGATCTGAACTCACTTCACACAGTTGATATCCGACTCGTGGCTTTCAAAAGACTGAATGTTCTGTCCTGAGCGCATGTCCCACACGTTGGCCTTCATATCGCAGCCCTGAGAATGACGCATCAGGATAAAAGTTAGTGAAAGAAAACCACTGATTACATCTCTAAAACAAAACAAAGAAAAAAATAAATTATTTTTACAAGTTAAAGTCAGGCCCCTCACCCCGGACACAAACGTGTTTCCGGTCTCGGACGGAGCGAGGTCCAGCGACAAGACGTCCGCCGTGTGACCATGGAAGCTCTGTAGCAGCTGCCCACTCTCCACGTCCCACAATGCACATGTTCCATCCCCGCTGGAGGTCAGCAGCTGGCACACACAAACTATCAATCAGGTTTATCTGCGCAGCACATTTCAGCAACAAGGCAGTTCAAAGTGCTTCATGTCGTAAAAACACAAAGTCATAAAAGACAGTCAACAGCTGAGAAGACCAACATCAGTGCCATCATCAAAATCATAAATGCACATCCGATATGTTGGTTAATTTTATAGTTCAAAAACAGCTCCAACAGCTTAGTTTTCAGCCTTGATTTAAAGGAACTTCAGCTGTTTTGGAGATTTCTGGGAGTTTGTTCCAGATTTGTGATGCACAGAAGCTGAATGCTGCTTCTACATGTTTGGTTCTGGTTCTGGGCAGAAGGACCAGAAGGTTGAAACAACAACAGCAGATCTTTAATATATTTATGGTGCTAAGCCGTTCAGTGATTAATAAACTAAGTATTTAGTTTCTGCATGGATGAGTTTCTCTAGATCTCTCTGGGACATCAGTCCTTTAAACCTGGGAATGATCTTCAGTTGACAGAAGGCCGACTTTGTAGCCGTCTTTATGTGACTCTGAGGGTTCGGGTCTGACTCAATCACCAAAACCAGGTTTTGTCAAAGGTTGGAAAGGGCTCACTTAATCACAACTATTTAAACAACACATAAAAACAGAATTAAGCTTCAAACTAATCTGATTTTGAGTAGTTAGTTAGTAACAGTTTTTTTTTTTCAAATCTTGGTCCACCTTGAAAAGCAGTAACCAGCCCTTTCTTGTGAATTGCTCTACCTGCTGGTTTTGCTCTCAATTCTCTAATTTACTGGGAAATGAAAGAGACGAAAATAAACCAGTAGTATCGCTGCTGCTATATTTACTGTCTGCGACCAATACCAGTGCTCAGGGGACATCGGCTGAAAGAACGAAACGGTTTCTTTACACATAAAGGAAGTAGTGTCTAATAGGAGGAAAATAAATGATAATTTTGAAGATCAGAACCGGGAACACACGAATCTAAACAACAGATACAGCAAAAGAGAGTAGAGAGGCAGCTCCTCGCTTACTCTGAAAACTCTCACTGAGCAATCAGCTGTCTGTAAACAAACGGGCTCGCAAAAACGGAAAGATGTCACCGAAATTGTGTGATGAAAACAAATCATGGGGACTCAGAGATTTACACAAACACGAGGCGTCCCTGCTGGCTGCCTGATTAGAGAGGATGTTGCGTGACCTCAGACCTGAAACACACCACATCCTGCTGCAGCGAGACAAACTCTTACTTTCAGCCATTCTAAGCCGCGATCTTTCTGCATGGTGTCTAAAAATGGAGCTCATCGGAATCACACGTGAAAGGGTTTCACACAGATACACAAAGGAAAGTTTTTGTGATTCTGCGTTTATGCCGACCTGAAAACATTCTTCATTTAGCTCAAACTTTTTATCTCTAATGTGTTTTCACTGGGATTCGGTTTGACAGAGCAACGCAAAGTAGTGCGTAGTTAGTGCAGGGAAGACTCTGCATGGTGTTTATTTTTATTTTATGTTTCAGTTTAGGAATGAAAATCTGAAAAGTGCGGTGTGCATTTGAATTCTGCCTAATTGAATCGATAGTTATAGAACCACTTTTTTGCTCAGACTCGAGTATTTTGAAGCCTCCAACAGGTTTTCTTCTGTGTTAAGCCTAATCCATTAGAGGTGGGCAGATTGATACAAAATATCATTAATACCGATACCAAAATATCAGTATCAGATCAATACCAGCATTGTATGATTGACACTTGGCAATAAAGACTGTTTCTATTCTATTATATTAAAACACATCAAAGTTTGTGACTGAAGGTGGAACAGGTGGATTGGTGTGAAGATTTTTGTCCACTTGCGTTTATTTGGGTGGTAAATGTTCTGCCCTCTGGGTCCCAGATAAAAGCCACTCAGAGTCTATTAATACTCCCCGGACAGAAGATCACAGCTCTCTCTCTCTCTCTCTCTCTCATCCGCTCTTCCCTCCCCGGTGCTCCTCTGCTTTGTGAAGCGTCACAAAGGAGTAAATTATTAAAGCCAACAGCTCAGACCATTTCCTTCATGTTCTTCCTTCCACCCTCTCATCCACCCGGCTGGGGGAGGAGAGGCCGTGTGTGTGTACTGGACGCAACCAAATACCAATCTTGAGGGTACAAAATGTCAGAAATAAAAGATAAGAATGCAGCTCGGACTGATTTTTTTCCGGTTTAAACTTTAACTAAGCCAGAAAATAAGAAACTTTATGTCAGAATGTGGCATGCAGCCTGTTGCCCCCACCTGATGTTGCATAATGAAACATTTTGCACAAACCTGTCTTGTTTAATTTTAAATGTTACATAATCTGCTACAGTGTTTTGTCTTTATCGCTGCATACTCCAACACGTGTTTCTGACCCCGCTCTGTGCTCTTCCGGTCGTTCCGGACAGAAGAATTCCAACATTTAGTTGTTTTTTTTCTAAGCATTTTTCCAGAACTACAATCACTGGATTAGATGAAAATGAACTGCTCAGATTTTTTTGTTCTATGGTTATGCTGAAAGGCTATGAGTTTTCAACATCATACCTGCAGTAGCTTCTTGTTTTCACTTTGATTAAAGACATTTGTGTTCATAGCAATCATTACTGGACTGATTAACATTAAAAACAGTCTCGTTTTGTTATTTGTTTTGTGGTGGTTGAGATGATTTACACGCCGTATATTAGTTTTATGCATCCAATCTACATATGGATTTCTGATAAGTTTCACTATAATTATTGATTTTTCTAATGTCGAACCTGCATGTCCGAGTTGGTGAAGGAGCATCCTGATACATAGTTGGTATGCATGGCGACCGACTTCTTCTTTGCTGCCAGGTTCTCAGTTCTGTCCAGCGACAGCGGGACCACTGAGCATTTGTTATCCAAGCCCCTGTTGGATGAGGTCACACATTTTTAGTTTTATGACAGAGTTTCTGTGAGTTTTGAAAAAAGGATGCCAATCGTATGTTATAGAAATTTTTTTTAAAAAGCAGCGTACTCACCCGCATGCCACAGCACAACCAGAGGGAGCATACGCACATGCCATCACCCACGTACATGGCAGGGTTATCCCATGCTCCTTCAGGACACAGACAACACACACATAAAAAGATTCATTCCTCTTTAGACAGCAGATTCTGTTTAATAAAATAAAATCCTGATAAATGACACAGAAATGTTTATTTGCTGCTTAATAAAATCTAAGAATGAATGAATATTTTTACTAGACACTGTAGCTCCTGTGAGCCCGGATCTGAGTCACTTTAAAAGTTTCAGGTCTGGGAATGAGGGTTAAATAAAATAAATCTTTAAAGCAGGATAAGTCTCATTCAGCCACACTCAGACCTTCATGCATATCAACACACTGGCAGCTGTCAAAGTCAACTGATGGACAGATAATCTTTAAAGGCATATTTCTGTCTAATCGTTTTATTTTCCAGCTGTTAGGAGAGCAGAGGCGCATAAGCCCAGCAGCACCAGCAGCTCACATGGAGGAACATGGATGAAGAAAAACCATTTGGCTGCCTGATGAGTAGCAAAGGTCAAACTGGGGTCACCCTTCCTCCAGAGAAGTGATAGATGTGTCACATCAGCTGAGTTACTGATTCGTTTAGATTTGACTAGTTTTTATTTTCTTTTACAGGGAATGCTATTTTAAAAATGTGAACACAATTTTTGCTCTTTGAAGATGCGTCTGTCTGTCAGATTACATCAACCATAAACTATTAAGGATGTAAAGTTGGACTTAAAATACAAATTTACAGCTGGATTAAATCAAAAATGATCAGCTTATGAAATCATGAATAAGTTAAATTTTATATAGATTTTTAAATGCATTTTTCTGACAAAGCAATCTACATTTAAAACGTAACTCATTGGGAAAAATGTAAAAAAATGTCTTTTTTAAGAAGCCTAAATCCACCCCTAGTATGCCATCCATTATGCACCTACCTTATTAAGAGTAAACGCATCCCAGACAATCACTTTTCCATCCTAAATGAGAGAAACATATTGCATTTGTCCCAGATTTACGCAACAAATAAAAATATCAGCATGTCTACAAGATTCCTGGCAAGTTTTAAAAATGAATAAAATATTCAAATCCAAATTTTAGACTTAAAAAAAATCTTTATTTACTTATGTGTAACATTTAAGCATTCGTTTCATTTTTCTGTGGTTTGTAGCTCTTGCAGAAGAAATTGGGAATTATGTGCGACTAAACTACAAATCCCAGGATGCAAAGCAGAAAGTATTGGAATTTGAACAGGTGTAACAGGTGTTCACATTCAGCCTTAGAAAGAGTTACCGCTCCTTAAAAAACACTTTTTAGGCTCTAATCACCTGTATTGATCAGTGAGTAGATAGAAAATAAGGAGGAGAGAGAAGGGGAAGACATGCGGCAAGTGGCGTCTTCTTCTTGACCGGAAATTGAACTCAACCGCGTAGCTTCTGCGAGTCAAGCGCGCGCTCTACAAACCTAGCGCCCCGAGACTAGCTTTAGCTTAACGGCTTCAAATTGTATGCTAAAGCATTTGGCTAACTTCATCATGGGTAAGTATACATTTACTTCAACAGGTAGCAAATATCCAGTGCCAACAAAATAAAATTCTTAAGCTTATCACATATGAATGTGATAAGCAGGTGTAAACAGCTGGTTCACTTGACGAACTTAATGTGTTATTAAGCTTTATATATATATATATATATATATATATATATAATTCACGCAGGTCTTAAATGTCATTGAGAAAGCTTTAATGGTGTCATAAAATGACGTTTTCCCCCAAACCCAACAGGAGCCGAGTAGGGATGCCACAGAGCCGTGAATGTGTGTGTGTACCTGTGAAGAGCTGACCAGGCGACGTTTGTCCTTACACCAGTCCATACACAGAACCTTGTTGCCGTGGCCTTTCAGGACGCGCCTGGTCTTCAAGGAGAGAGCAGCCACCGCCTCAACCTTCTCAGCCACCTGATGTACTGAGGTGACATGCACAAACACACACACATAATTATGCTTTGTACAGGTTCTACTTTTAGTTTAAAACTGTTTTTAGATTTTGCTTCCCAAAATGAGTCAAATTTTGCTATACTTTTATATTTAATGTAATGTAAAGATCTAAAGTGGAAGAAGAAAAAGGAAGAGGGAAACACTGTAAAATCTTTCCGAATCAGCATGTATACATCTATAGCAGGTGTTTCACTCCAGAGTGCGCTGGGTTCCATCATTAGCATATTATGCTGATTAGTGAGGTTCTGATTGGGTCATCATCTGGACCCAGTAGCAACATAAATGACAAGTTGCTCTATGTTGGTCCCTCCCCTAAAATAAAAATTACTATAACGTCATAATTTTCAAATACTCAAGTACTTATAAAAATCTCAAAATAGTAATTCACCTGATATGGGCCTTTGAATTTCATAAATACTTTGGGGCTGCCCAAAAATTGGGGTACTGCCCCTTTAAGACAACAGTATTACACTGGCTAAAATTAAGATGGATGCTTTTTTAGTTTTTTTTATTTGAAGTTTAAAAACACAGACTTTGAAATTTCCTAGATTACAGAACAGATCAAAAATGTTAATTTACTCAAATAAAAAACTGCAAAATAGAGAAACTAAACATCTGGAAGCAGTCTGCAACCTAAAACAAGTCAGTATTTTTCACAATTACATTAACATTCATCTGACTTGTAAAAGTTGTGCATAAAATCCACACCATCGCTTGTATGAACAAGATTAAAAAAACAGAAACAAAATGTAAGCAGCCTGATATCGGTGCTCTGCACCAATAATAAGCGTTCAGGAGTCAGTTTCCAGCAGCGTTAGCTTCCACAGCCACTCACGCTCCACATCGTTCAGCTTGCCACGCTCCTCCTCCAGCTTCTTCTTCAGGTTCTCGCTCTCCTTCTTCAGTGATGCCAGGGTCTCCCCTTTCTGGAGTCCCTGGCACGCCATCTTCATCGAGCAAATCAACGCCGAAACAAAGTTAGACACACACACAGAGAGAAAGAGAAAGAGAGAGAGGGGGGATTAGAAAAAAGAAAAGAGGAGGGATGAGAGCAGAAAGCAGGAAAACGTGGAGAAGCAGCCCAGTTTGTCTGGTGGTTAGAGGTCCATTAAAATAACCCTGGAGAGCAGCAGTGATGCAGCCGCTCTGCTCTGCCTCCCCCCATCCTCTATCTGTCCTGCTATTCAGAGACACTGAAGGCTTTTAAAAGCCAGCCCCGCATTGCAAATGCAGCTTCACTCTCCTCTGGTTCTTGTTTTTAAACTCGACTATCGCAGAAATCCGTCATGAACCGTCAGTCCCAGTCTGCTTGCATGAACCTATTAAGAAATAAACATTTATTATAATGTTGATGAAAAGAGGAGTAGAAAAAAAGGAAAGCTACACTCAAAAAGGTCAGATTTGTCAGGCTAGTAAATATGTAAACATTTGCTCTTGCATAAACTGTCATGGTTTCGCCCAGGGTATCATTAGCCTGGCGGGCCACCAGGCTTTACTTGTCCCCCCCACCAGGCTAAGCATTGTTTATTTATTTGGTAACACTTTATTTGAATGGGTGCATAAGACTCTGTATCGGGAAATAATAACACTTCTAATTTGATAAATATATGCATAGAGTCCCATGCAAAAGTAGCATATGCCGCTATAATAAATGTATTGTTTTTACCCACTGTAACAGTTTTTTTTACCAACTAAAATTTAATTTTGAGTATTTGTATTATGTTCCCTTGAGTCAATGAAATATTTTCTCCATTAATGAGAGAAAAAAAAAATCAGATTTATTTATCAATGTCTTCAAAATCAGAAGTTTACATGAAGAATGATTACTATCTCTGTAAGCAATGAGAGGGAAGCCCAGATGATGATGATGTGACTTTGGAAACCTCTGATAAGTTAACTGCAAACAGTTTGAAGAAAGTTAGAAAAAAATGTCTCAAAAATTGTTCACAAAGTTTTTTGGCATTTAATACATACAAACAATTTGGGTAATTTTAACTAAGCTGAAACAGACTGTGAGGAAGAAAATGTCTTTGTATTCTGTGTTTATAAATATCTGATTTCTACAGTACATTTGGAGTTTTACTGTGAAAAGCTTTAACTTGCAGCCAAAACAGTGTGCGGGTTTCGCCGGGTCTGGATGGACACAACGTTGTGAGGTTTTACAGTGAAACCGGGCAGCAGCTCAGAGACGCTGCTTTACCATTTCCACGCAGAAGGAGCAGTAGTTGATGGCCTCACTCTTGATGTAGATGTTCATCAGCGGACTGGCCTTGCTGCAGCTGTCACACGGGCCGAAGGTGGCCGCCATGAACGTCTGGTCACACATGGCTGCAGAGGATCAGCGACACGCCTGCCGGACACAGAGTGATGCACTTCATCAAGCAGACCGCACACTGATTAGGTTTTATTTAATCGAGTCTCTGTGTGTGTGTGTGCGCGTGCGTGCGAGTATACTGTACAGGAGATAAGCAGCTGGTAATCTACTCCAGCCTGATCCTTCTCAGAGGAGAGCAGCTATTCTGGGAAACAAACACACCTCAACTCCTCACATAATTAAATAACTCTTACTTTATATAAGGTTTCTCATTTAAGGCTTTTATTGTAATAAATTATTTCAGTTAGTAAAATTAAACAATGTTTTGCTTAAATTTATTTTCATTCTTAATTCGATTTTATGCTACAAGCTAAATGCATGTAAAAACTGATAAAACAGCAACAATTTGCTCCCAAGTTATTCTAAACAGACCTGACTGCATGTTGTTGTAGATTTTTTTACCTTGAAGTGCAAATTTGCTAGCAGCAATTTCATTTCATTAAGATTTATTTTTTACCATTTAGTGCAACAGTTTTTACGATTAAATTAAACTCCATCTGAATAGTCTCCCCAGTGATATTGCACACGTTTATTATCCATATTTCTAGCTAAAATAAAAAGCGTCTTACCACAAAAGAGACCGTTTCCCGTCACCCAGCCGGTACCTGTCCAGGTAGAAGTGAGCGGATTGGTTCCAGTGACGGATCAGCGAGGGACAGAGGACGCAGTAAGCCTCTTAGGAAAGTGTCTTAGCCGTGACTCTGCTCTGTTTTGACTTCCCTGCTTCACCTGCAGAGCCTGGAGGATCCATTTAAAGGTGGGACCAAAAAGTTTTTACTTTAATTATTCTCTGTTTGATCACATTATGTTGCATAGCAAATCATTTATCTCCAGATGTTTACCCAAACTCTCCCCATCTCCAAATCCAACAGACAAAACTGTTAAAAATGGGAAATAAAAGAGGTTAAAAATGTCTGAAGACGAAAATACTGAATAATAAGCATGGAAGTACTTCAATAGTTCAATATAATTATAGTATAAACATTTCTAAAACCAACAAATGAAATTTTGCAACAAAAAAAAAACCCATTAAAAATATTAACTTCTGTTCAGCTCAAAATTATTAGTGTGTCTGGGAGACTCAGAATTATCAGACAACTAGTAAGTTTGAGAGAAAATTATACAATTGTCTTTCAAAAGATAAGAAAACTGCTGAAAAATCAATAAAAAAACCCTATTTATTTAAATAACAAATGTTTTGATTATTTTGTCCCCTTCTGAAGTGTTTTATTGGTTATAATGACCCAGTAAAAATTATTCTTTAACTTAAAATACAACTTAATTTAACAGCTAGCTAGCTAATCAATATAATTTGAAAAATGTCAAATAAGATGTTTCTCCAATTTACTTTTCAATATTTTGACACTAAGCCGGTCCTTGTACAAAATTTTGTATATTTTCTTGTAATTTTACAATTGCAAAAACAATATGATTTGTTTAGGCAATTTTACCTTTACCAATTTTACAAAATGATCCGATTTTGTATGGAAAAGGAATCTGGAAATCTTTGTATATTCAAAATGTAAATAGGGCCTTGCAGGCTCAGTGTTCGATGTTTTAAATTTTCCAGGTTATCTTAGTCTAGATTTGTTTGTATTTGTTTTTGGTATAATTATTAAATGCATTTTTATTTGATCAATATTAGAAATTGGCTTTCATAGGCTATCAGTTCATTGGCTGTTCATATATTAAAGTGGTTATCGTTTCCATAATTCAGTGTCCTGATTGCGTTCCCTGAACTTAAAAACAAACAACACATCCTTATCCCTAGCATCAAATACCAAACATTTTAAGTTATAATAAAACTCCAGGACCATCCAGCAGTGCTGAATTCTTTTATTTTACTTACAGAGTTGAAATTTTATTCCAAGTTTGCTAACGGTGAACACATTCACGAAGCACAGCTACCAGAAACTACAAACAGTCCAGTTCGTCAAATGTACACACTGGTTTAAAGAGGGAAACACCCGGCACCGGTTTTCAGCATGTTTGCACCAGTACCGCCACAGCTGGCCTCCGAACTATTTGTATTTTTATTTTGTTGTTGTTTATTTAAACGGCACAATTAACTCTAGTGCTGATCATTTATCACGTCTGGGTCGTATTTTACAAGCAGCTGTCTGCTTGGTGTGGAAACGGAGACCAAAGCGATGACGGCGTTTTCTTCTCAAATAAACCAACCGATGGTGTGAGTGTCGCAGCTCCCACTGAGCCCGGGATTTTTTTTTTTTTTTTTTTTTTCAGTTTTTCCAGTCCATACTCATCAATAAACAGTTCAAACCATCCGTGTTACACCAGCTGCAGGACAAGAAGAGGCATCATCAGAACAGCATGATCACATTTTATACAACTTCTACTCATTTAACAGCGAGAGAACAAAAAAAAACCTGTACTGGGAGAACACTGTCACAATGTGTGTATAACATAACCAGTAAAGTCAGATAAGGCTTCTTCTACAATGTGCAGCTAAAAATCATGATACACTTGTTAGAACATGAACATTCAAATGGTAGATCGACTCCTTTGTTGCTGTCCTTCAAAAACACAACCAGCAGATATGACCTCTTGGCACAAGCCAGAAATGTTGCACAGCAAACAAACCAAGACAAACAAAAGGCTGAATTATTAGACGTGGTCCCAGTGAGAGCAGACAGATGTTCTTGGCGTAAAAAAGTCACTACCGATGCTTCGGTCAGGACGTCTCAGGTCGATATATTTTACCGATTTAGATTTTTTATTCTGGGGCTACATATAAAAATGAAAGCATAAAAACCTTTGATTTTTCTTCAAAGTAAAGCAAATTAAAGTAAACGCTGCTGATTGAAAATAGTGTTTGATGCATTTAAATGACCAGTTTTTTCATTTTAGCCCCGCCAAAAAAAAAAAAAAAGTAGGCAGATTCCAATATTAAGCAATTTAATTGGTGCAGCTCTAAACGTAGCACTTTCTCTTTAATCCAATCAGGATGTCCGACAAGATGCAACTTCTGTGGTTTACTGAGATTTCTCTGCCTCATTTTGTGTCTCTGCTCTCTTTTTTTTCCCCATTTCATTTGCCTCAAAAGTCCAGTTCCAACTGGACCATCCAAACAGAAACCGTGTTTTACTAAGTGTCGGGTTTTTGATGAAATAATGATCAAAAGAGGAGAAGAGGCAGAACATGGTTCTCTTTAGGTACTAATGGTAAAACAGGAAGTATGCTGAAAGTGCAGAAAAGACAGAGCAGAGGAAGACGGAAGAGTCTTTGTCACAACATGGGCAGATTTCCTGGTGGACTCAACTCCAGACCTTAGTTTTCCTAACATGCAGGCTCCTTTTCTCAAGCTGGTGACGTCTGGAAAGCCTAAACCATGCAGGTTACACAAACAAAGCAGCAGCACGTCATGCCTTATGCTTTGCTAAAGTACCAAGTATGTAAAGATATCTGAAGCTAAACGATCTGTACAGTGAATTTAAAAAAAGACTAACGGATAAGCACTGAGCCAGCAGTTAAAATGAAGCGATGACCATAAATAATCTGTTGGTTATTTGTAACAAATGCCCATGTTGTGTCACAAAAACAGGAAGGCAAAAGTGGGCGTTAAGCAGAGAAAATGTAACATAGAACAGATATCAGGCAATTTCTGTAAAACGTACTTAAAAAAAACAACAAATCTCTCTTCATTCTGCTCAGTAATATATGGCTTTACAATACAAACAACCCTAAACAAACGGCAATACTGAAATAAATACGCACACGAAGATAAACGGGAACATTTTCCAAGGCCTTGACCAGAAGAATGTGAGGGGAAACAGAAGCTGAGTGTAATGTTGCTTATTGGTGTTGGTGGTATGGTGAATATGGAAGTCCGAAAGTGACACAATTTAATAAATAAATAAATCACTCGATTACTTCAAAATGTTCCAATTCATCAAAATTGGAAGTAAATGCAAGTAATGTTATTAAAAATATATGGTAAACATAAGCATTTTATATGAAAAGCATAAATGATTATTTCACTGTTAGTAATTTCTCGTTTGCTACTGGGTGGAGCAAACGCTGTGCAGGAAACTGGAGCAGCTTTTACTGATTACTGACATTCACAAACTTAACTCTAAAATACTATCAAATGTGACTAATTACAGAATTTCACATTTAATGAATCATATATTCACAATTGAGATGCATAATCGGGAATTTACTTATTTATAAAATGCAGTGACTTTAATAATGACATAAGTAAATAGGTTTTATGAATTTGTGGCACATTGGGGCTTCCATAGTTTAAATGTTCCTGGTTTGTTCTGGTCAGAGCTGTAAACAGTGGACCTCATCGCAGGTTAAAACCCTCAGCAGAGTTTAACCCTTCATATAGACTCTCCTCACTTCTGCCCGAAATAAACATTAAACATCTGAATTAAAGACGCAGCAAATCAAAATCTGTGCCAGACCTTCTGACTATGATATAATTTATCTATCAGGACATACATATTGTACGTCAGTGCAGCTAAAGCAAAGCTGTTCGTATTCTTTAAACATTGAGGCTGGCAACGTAATTTTAATAAATAAAATACAGGATATATATTATTTATTTCTATATAGATATCTTTGTGTATAAATAATATAGTACAGACAATGAGTTTTGTCTTGTCTTGGCTTGACTGTGCTCAGAGGGGATAAAACCCGATCGCTCGGCTGTTTTTGCAAGACAATAGTTTGCTAATCAGCTCTGTGTGATGAGATCTCTGCCTGCTTTGCTCTCGTGATTCAGACGTGAACAGCAGCTAGCTTAACGATGACGGGAGACACTGAGGGAGGATCGGTAACACTAATCCTCTTGCTGATGACTGACTGGATCCAATGGCGTCTCTAACCGTCAAGGCGTTTATACAGGCGTTTAATGGAGAGCACGGGGCGAGTAGCGCGTGTTTCCGAGCAACACAAGCTAGAAAGTGACACCGATGTGTGTGCATGTCAGAGTTTGGACAGAAAATGTTTCTTCAGGTTGTGTTCATCCACATTTTATTGAAGTGCTTTTACTATAATTATTATTTATAATCTGTCTCGGGCCAGTAGGTGGCAGCGGCGGTTGCTGCTGGGGATTTTTCAGCTCAAACCCTGGTGAGGAAGCTCAGGTTGAGGGAGGTGGGGATCTGGATGGTTTCCAGGGCGAGGGAGGACGGGCTGAAGGGGAAGGTGACCGGGTAGATCATTTTGGTGTCCATTAACAGCTGGGGGCTCTCGCTGCGGTCTCGCAAGCGGGTCTGAAGAAGAAGAATAAGAGAGGGTCAGAAACAGTGAATATACTGAACAGACAGCAGGTTTTGGGATCGAAGCCAAACAAGGAAGAACACTGACTAGATGACCCACCAGGTAACAGAAAATGAGCATCATCGACACAAGATGAGGTTTTGTCTTAAAAAGTTTAGAAAAAAAAAAAGTCCAGACTGAAAACGCATCCATTTCCTCTGACCTTCAGAAACAGACTTGAGTTTTTGGGAAATTGTTGCAACTGCAATTAAGTATGTTTTGATTTTTATTTATTTTATTATTTCATTGGTATTTTGCTATCATTTTTTTTGTTTTCTAAAATTATTTTTATCAAACTTAATTTTATTTCTTGTTTTATCACTGTGATTGTTGTGAAGCACTTTGGTCTGCCGAGGTTGTTGAAAATATTC